ATATATATATGCAAAAGTACTTATTATTTTTTATTTTAACAAATATATGAATTAGAAGAATATGAAAAGATAAAAGACTTGATAATTTGATAAAAACGATTTCTTCTACCATAGTATATTCTTTTGCTTGAGATTTCTATGTATCAAATGCATTTGTCATAACTTGACTATATGAAATTATGAATAAGTTTGAGCTTATATTAAATATAAAAAAATGTATAATATTTAATATGTTTTTGACATTATTTTTAATTAAAATTTTGTTCAGATAATAAATGTAAACCTTTACTATATGGTTCATTAGTGTAAACCTTTAATTGTGATTAAAAATAATAATAATAATAATAACATCTAAAATATTGCACATTCAAATATTAGAAAAAATAAATCATCGCCAAGTTTTTGATTGAAAGGCCGAGTCCCAGATGCACGAACCATTGGATTGGGAGTTGGGAATTGGGACCATGCCTCATTGCCTCGTACATATCAATGCCTCATTGCAATATTTTTTTATTAAAAATATAAAAAATTTTAAGAAAAATATATTTTTGTGATAAAAAATTTAATGTACCTATTTTTTTTATAAATTAAATTTTTCATATAAATAGAGTAATAATTTTTTTATTTTTATTTTTTTTTATATATTTAATATTATATTTAAGCGTGACTTTGTAATTTTTAGTGACTTATTTAATATTAGATGAACAAAATGGTATAAATTATCAAGATAAAGATAATATAATTTTTTTTTGTATCTTTTCTAAATTTTTATGTTCAGTTAAAATAAAAATATTTTATGAGAACGGCGCTTATTTTTTCATAAGAGTAAGTTTATTTTTTATTAAATATGTTTAAGTAAAAAATAAAAACAAAATTTTGTGTGACAATTACTCTTATTCCTCTTAATTTGAATCATCACTACCAACACACAATGTACATATACAAGATCAAAAGAGTTAAAAATTAAAATAAAAATTGAAAAATAACTTATATTTGTAAACTAAATTATGACACCTTTAATAAATAAAGAAGTAATAAATCTTTCGTTCAAAAAATAAAGTATATTATAATAATAATAAAATTAAGATAATTTTATCATAAAATGAAAGAAATTACACAATAGAATAAAATAAAATTATTATAAAAAATGTTACATATAATTACATTCAAAAAGTGTCACTCTAGTCTAAATTTATACTTTTTAACAATATATCAACATATATTGTATCTATAATATTTGTAAAAAATAGTTTTTAGTGACAAGTATTATATTTTTATAAGATGTGTATCATTACTTAATAAATTAAAATATAATTTATATATATTATAAAAATAATATATATAAAAAAAAGTTAAATTTTAGTGGGCGCAACTGCTCCACTCTCGTACAAATAAATCCGTCCCAGCTTGAGTCATTATAACAAAGTAACCAAACTCCTGCTGGTTTGGATTGAATCGGTCTTAACCATTTAATAAAGAACTTCAAATAAATCTAACGAATTTTTCTTTTGAAATTTTGTTAATTCAATTATTCATTTTTTTAAGCTTAGTTACCATAATCTGTACTCGGTGGGATCATTTAATTAAAAAACTTTACAATCTTTTTACTATGTTATTGGATTCTTTAATCATCATA